ACACACACACACACACACACACACACACACACACATATATATATATCAGATAAATCAGCAGAAAGATAAGAAACAACGAGTACCTTGCACAAGGCGGGCTTCGCGTGCAACCCGGAAAGGTCAAAGCAATAGCAAGATTTTCCTTCTGTGTCACCTTCGATGATTAAGGAAGCCTAAAGTGACCTGAGCCGAGCCATGGGATAAGAAGCAGCTACAAATGCTCTGTACAAAAAAATTAAAAAAAGTCTGAATAATAATAAAAACGTATGATAAGAAAAAAAAAATCTCATATCTTTTGCGAGTAAGATAAATCCATACACTAATACATGTATTTCGACAAGATATGTTTCTATACTAATACAACATATATCTAAACAAGATATATTTATACACTAATAGAACATATACTTTTACAAGATAAATTTCTACACTAATGCAACATACATTTCTACAAATGTCGCCGCATCATAATCAATCATAGCGTGTCACTTTCATTTCATCACGCTTCCATCCAAACCTCACAAAACAGCTGTGCTACAACTCTCCCCCCCCCCCCTCTTCCTCCCATTCCATCTTCACGCTCTTTCTTCTCTCCCTTTTCCCCTTTCCCCTTTCCTCTCCCCCCTTCTGCATTTCCTACTCCTCCCATCCCCTCACCAGCGAGTAAAAAAAATATATATTTGCAGTCCCATCACCTCAGGGGTACTCAAAACACTGATATAATAACTTCACATACCTTTTTTTTGGCATTTTCATCCAGTCAGCCTAATGACTAGTTACAGCCAGCCTAATGAGTCATTAACATAATACGAAAAGCCATAAGGTCATTACAGGAAGAGGAATAGAGAGAGCAAGAGAGAATGATGGTAGAAGAGAGAGGGAGAGTGGGAAAGAGAGAGGAAGTAGGAGGGAGGGAGGGAGAGGGGGGCAGGGAGGAGGTGGGAGGGAGAGGGAAAGAGAGGGACAGAGAGAGAGGAAGAGAGAGAAAAAGAGAGAAAGAGAGACAGACACAGTGAGAGACAGAGACAGACAGAGACACAGACAGACAGAGACACGGACAGACAGAGATACAGACAGATTGACAGAGACAGAGAGAATGAGAGAAAAGGGAGACAATGAAAGAAAGTGAGACAGAAAGAGAGAATGAGGGAGAAACAGACATACAGAGAAACGAAGAGGGAAAGGGAGAGGTGTGGAAGGGAGAGGGAGAGGGAGAGGGAAAGGGAGAGGGGGAGGGATTGGAGGAGGGGGAGGAAGAGGGAGAAAGGGAGGCAGGGAGAAAGAGAAGAAAAGGAAAAACGAGATGGAAACGAGCAAAAAAGAGGACAGGAAGGAGGAACGGGGGAAAGGAGGAGGGGCAGACGCGCCCACGCATGCGCGTGTGTGTGACTGTGCAAATGCATCCATGACCACAGGCAACATTCAAGCTATGAGCCACAAGGACATCGATGCTACGAATCACTGGCACAGCAGTTGATTCCTCAAAGGGCTCTGCAATCAATCTGAGCCAATACACTCAATATATACATACTTCCTCTGAGGTAATTGCAACCACGAAAACGCACACCCATCACTGACGGCCACGCAAGCTCACGCCCACTACCGACAGCCACGCAAGCTCACGCCCACCACCGACAGCCACGCAAGCTCACGCCCACCACCGACAGCCACGCAAACTCACGCCCACCACTGCCAACCACACCGACGCCGCCCAACACCTGCCTGACGCCGCGACCATCCGCAGCCCGGCCACGAAACAGCGCCTACCTTTCGCAATACCCGGCTCACTGCGAGCACTTAACCTGCCACTGACAGCCCAGTAAAGCCCTTTCGAGACTTTAATAAACCAATCAGCATGCTAATTAGGGTATCCGAAATTTCGCTGTTTTTTCACAGGAATGACTCGACTAAACAGGTTCTCCCTAGCAACTTCCCCCATTGAGAGGCCGGCCGGCAAAGACACTCCCGCCAGATCATATACCATGATTTTTTCTCCATTTTCTTGCCTAAAATGGTGGACACTAAATTCCTGCTCAAATCAGGATACTTGGTTAAAAAGTTCCCAAATATCTGTAATCCTATCGCCGGCCGGGAAGTAGCCGGCGGCAAGTGATAACTCGTTGAAGCGGATAACCTTCGAACGCAAAACTGGCCGGCGCCCCTCGCCACTCTTCCCATAATGCATGGCAACTCCCCATAACATGGCAACCCTCCCATACACGGGAACCCCCACCCGTTGCCCCTACAAAGAGCTTGCTGCAGTTTCGCGTTGCCAGGTCGTGATCACGCCAAGGTTACGCCGGGTCAACAACCGCCATGTGCTAACGACCGCCCGCTCGTTTCTGGGACACAAGGCACGTGAACTTAACAGTATCTGTGATCACCTCTCCTCTTCGTTAAATGACATGGCAAAACAATACAATTAGTTTTAGTGTTTCTTTTCTGTTTAACGTTTTTTCTGCTGTTTTGCCTGAACCGTAGCTTTGTTATTGTTGTTTTAGTTTGTTTTCTTGTTTCTTTCTCCATTTTTGTTCGTCATTCACTAAAGTTTCTTAAATTAAGTAAACACATCTCTTGGTTTCCCTGATAAGTGTGCCATGTCCCCGCTTCTGCGTATATATCGTATCATTTGCTGTTGAACATTGCAATAACCTAAAGAAATAAATCCCACTATGATTTTCCTCAGTACTATTTTATCAGGTATGATACGGAAGACAACATAAATCGAGACACCTGGGTAACTCTCCAGAAAAAGTAATAAAATGTCTTATGTACACTTTTTTTTTGTCTATGTTATTTGTTTGTTTTTTCTTGCTTCATTTTTTTGTTCAATATCAAATATATAAATCCAGCCCCAATGTGAAAAAGAAGTTACGAACCTTCAACCCGAGACACGATTACGAAGCCGAAGCTGAATCCACGAAACCGAAAATGAACGAAAACAAAAGACTATCCATGCGCGTCAGCTGGCCCTTGGGGGTGAGTGCCACGTACAGACGATACTCATGTGGCACTC